AGAAAGAAAGAAAGAAAGAAAGAAAGAGAAAGAAAGAAAGAAAGAAAGAAAGAAAGAAAGAAAGAAAGAAAGAAAGAAAGAAAGAAAGAAAGAAAGAAAGAAGGAAGGAAGGAAGGAAGGAAGGAAGGAAGGAAGGAAGGAAAGAAGGAAGGAAAGGAGCTTTATTAGAATAACATATTAGCGGAAGCAATTTGGAGAAATATGCTATCCATATGAACACTACTGATAGCTGTCTTTATTACATTTTAGTACGTGTGACATGATGTGTTTTGTGTCAAAAAATTTAATTGTTGCAAATAGATAAAGCCAGAGATGGTTCCTAGCAACACTGCCCTAGTAAAGTATACATACGACCTAGATCAACACCACTTGGTCAGTTCAGCAGACAAGTACTGTATTAAAATTCAAAGAAGCTAGTCATTGTCAGGAAAAAGTTCTACGAAGAACTATTAGAAAACTTCCCATATTTTAAAAACTGACATTTATTTTGATGTGACATTTTCTTAATCCCTTAATGACTTTTTGTTGAAATACCAACATGCTGAGAGAAAATCAAAATGGGAATGAAATCCTTTTATTTATAAAGTATGCTACAATTAGACGATAGGGGTACTGGCCTCAGTCAGCTTAAAGACCATTGTAAGAACAACTGCTTTAGAAGTGCTGCCTTTGGTGCTATTGACTTTGTTGTTCTTATCTAGATGTTTTTCATCCACCTGGGTGAGTGTCCACAAAGTCGACAGGCTGATGATCAATGACTGGACTTGTTTCTTAATTTCAATTTCTAGTAAATTCAAGGGAAGAACCAGAAACACTAAGGCAAGCAACTAGCTAGGTAAAGGAACCAGGATTTTTCTACTATAGCAAATAAAATGTGTACCTGCAGGACCCCAGGGTTCGTTTTGCAATAACAGCTGGCCTGTTGACTGTTTATTTGCTGCATTTTCATATCTCCTTCCTAACACTAAAAGGCATATCAAATGAATATTTACCTCCAGGAATTCTGAAAGACAATAATAAAAATAATTAGTTAAATGATTGTTTTTAAAAAATGCGTATCTCTTAACAAGGGATTCAAAGCCTCCATAATGATGTTTAAAAAGAAAAATTTTACCCAAGTGAAAAGCTATAAACTCAACTACTTTTGTGTTCTATTTTCAGTTTCAGAAACAATATTTTAAACCTTAGTACCCGGCTCTATATCTTCACATAAAACTTGCCCAGTTCCCTTTCAAGAGGTAATCTTGGCTGCAATTACACTCTCTAATGACCAAAGTGAAAAATAGGATTTCTGACTGACCCTGGCAGGCCAGCTCTTTATGCTCGAATGATATAAGAGAACAGCTAACAAGACCTCACCATGCATGGCTTTAAATGTTATTGATGGCACTAAAGCAAGTCTACACTTTTTCAGAAAATCCTTTACTGCGCCTGGTCTTGTTGTCACCATAGGAGTGACTTACATCCTGTGGGCTGATGATTCATGGAGAGAGTTTTCTGTCATTTGTCTTACATTCATGACATTACAGTTTCACTAAATATTCCTCTGGTTTTCACGTTAGTAGAGACGTTGTTGAGAAGTGCAGGCTATTATGTAATAATAAAAATAATTAGTTAAATGGTTGTTTTAAAAAAAATGCTTATCACTTAAGAGGGGATCCAAAGCCTCCCTACTGAAGTTTATGTAATCTAATGCCCTCTTTTTTTCTTATTTCTTTGCATGTAAAATCATTCTAGTTCACATATCTTAGGTACCTTCCAGAACCTCTGATAATTTGCATTGCCTTTCTTCAGACCTTTTCAATTCACCTCTTCAACTGAAGATCTGAAAGTCTTTGTTGTTTAATGCAAATGTACATGTTTTCCATAGAGCAGTGATTTTCAGACACAGCTGTGAAATGCAGAAATCCAGGCTACACTCTCAGAAATCCTAATTCAGAATGTCCCTGTGATTGAGTCTAAGAATCTTTGATATAAAAACTTCCAGAGGGGATTCTTACTTGCATACAGAATTGACCAGAGTTGTGGGGAAAACTACCTTGGATATGTGATTTCTAAGTCTTCTCTCTTCATTTCTATGCAAAGACAAAGAAAAAATAGCACCCAAATAGTTATTTTTGGTAATCTATCCCAAGGAAACTGATGGCCTTATTCAGAAGATTTAGAAAGAATTATCTCCAAACCATTTGCAGCTTCTTCTCAGTTGACACCATTTCCGGGACTCCAAAAGTCAGACCACAATTTAATGAACATAGAACCCCTGTCCTTCCTACCACCTCCTTTGTCTCTTCTTTCACAAAGTAAAAACGATATACATGCTCACAGAATGTCTGGAGCTATCGCGATCCCAAGTAGCTATCTGAGAATCAGCATGAAGAGACAGTGTGAAATTGATGTCAGAATAGTCTGTATCCTTTTATCTATCAATGAATCCTCTCTTCCTCTACTCATGGAAAAGGTGGAGATAGAAAGGCTTCAGAGATATACTCATTTATAAATCTTCATTTAAACATATCTACATACCAGTATTGCCAATTCAACATTTAATGAGTTCTACTCTGAGGGTGGCATTACGCTAAGTCCTAAGCTAGGGAGATCAATAAAATACATATTTCTAAGTATGAAATTGCTCAGACACTTGGGCAGTGGGAAAGACAAAACCCTGTGCATTACGAACGACTCCAAATATAAAATTTGTTGAGTATAAACAATTTTGTTTTGTTTTGTTTTGTTTTTAATGGAGTTTCACTCTTGTTGCCCAGGCTGGAGCTCAATAGTGCGATCTTGGCTCACTGGCTCACTGCAACCTCCGCCTCCTGGGTTCAAGTGATTCTCCTGCCTCAGACTCCCGAGTAGCTGGGATTACAAGCATGCACCACCATACCCAGCTAATATTGTATTTTTAGTAGAGATGGGGTTTCACCATGTCGATCAGGCTGGTCTCGAACTCACGACCTCAAGTGATCCACCCGCCTTAGTCCCCCAACGTGCTTGTATTAAAGGCGTGCACCACCGTGCCTGGCCCAAACTATTTCTACATTTGATCATCAGACCCATTACTTCGATGTAAGTCAAGCAGTGTGCAATGGAAATAGTGTTGGCTGGAGGTCAGTGGCCTTGCTCCACACCAGCCACTCATTGATCTCAGGATTCTGATCTGCTGAGTTTGTGAATTTCCAAGGACCCTTCCTGTTCTACATTCCCAGGCTTTTGTAGTCACCCTATAAATTATCCAATTCTTATTATAATTCTGTTCCTGATTCTTTCCCCCTATTTATCTTTTTCAGATTCTGTTCATGGGCATGATGACTGAGTACTATCACTACTTTTTCACAACCCTGGTAAGTGCATCTAGGAGAAATGTACTCCACATGTTAGGAAACATCTTCACATGGTTATTTCAGAGTCAGCCTCACCAGTGTCCAAGGCAGGATATTGTCATGGAGACTTGTCTTACTTTCCTAAGAATCCTCTAAATCCAGCAATGCTGAGCAGCAGCTTTCTTCTTTTTTTTTTTAACTAGCATCAATGTATGTGCATTTAGAAAGAAATTAAAATGAAAATTCCATTAAATAGAAACTATCAAAGTAAAACCTATTCATAAAAAAGCATCATCTACAATTTTTATATACATTAGCATGTGCATCCAAGTGTATCTGGCATTCATTGATTTTATGTGGCTTTCCTGCCTGTGTCCAGAAGATAGCTGGGTTAGCCAAGGGTTGCCTGTCAGATGTTTGAAAAACCTTCAAAAAGGGGAGTATTGAAGATGCTCTGTACATTGAATATTTTGCACCATAAAGAAAAATCATGGTCCTAAGCCTTAGAAATCCAAAAGAAACCATTGGACATCTTAAATTTTGGGAGACTATTTGATTCTAAAGAATGATTTAGGGTATTTAACACATCAAAATGATGTGATAACTTTCGTTCAGTCAGTTTGAGAAATCAGTGACAGCCCCCACCTCCCCAACCACACACTTGCACACTCCACTTTCTTACATGAGAATAAAAACAGAGCTCTCTTTCTAATCTGTAAGAGTGTATCAGCTAAATTCAAGCTCCCTTTCTAATCTGTAAGAGTGTATCAGCTAAATTCAAGCTCCCTTTCTAATCTGTAAGAGTGTATCAGCTAAATTCAAGCTCCCTTTCTAGTCTATAAGAGTGTATCAGCTCAATTCGACCGGGACTCTGGGGGACTCAGTAACAGTGCCATTTTAGCAAATGCAACTGACAAGCTAGTGAGTAGGCGAATTCAAATAATTTAGAATAAGGACCCGAAGTAGTAAATTCTATTTCTGACTCAAGTAAGTAAAGCATTCATTTCACGATGTCCTCTGCACCCCTTCATCCATCTCTCTGAGAGGATGGAGGGGTGCAGAGGACATCGTGAAATGAATGCTTTGAGATAGTTGTCAAAATCATTACTGCTATTGAGCATAGGGTGGAAGTGGGTACAGGGTAGAAACTCCTCCTGATCTAAGGTTTCTGTGGTCTTCCCATCTGCCTCTCCCTGCTGCTGCTTCTTTTTTTTTTTT